ACTACCATGGAACTCGACGGGAATACAGTCTACTATATATGAATTTGCTTTATTCCTATCTTTGTTGAGTACATCAGTTCCTGAGGTAAGAGTCTGTCTGTGTGAATATCTTCAGTATTTTTCCAGAAAAAGAATGGTATCAAGCTGAAAACAATCTGTACATAAAAGAACATGCACCAAGCATTCAAGCACCGAGGGTTAGTTATATGCTATGGCAAATTATAAGAAAGAGATTATACATATCATGTTTTCCCTTCTTATGCTCTTCTGAGAAATCATTCCGCACTCCCTTCTATAATATTAAATAAAGTATAGCCACCTTGCACACGTGAATCCATTTTCAAAGGTACATCCAATTCCCAAGTTCCTAGTCAGAGATGATATATAACTTGACAGCTTCTTCAAATCATGTAATCTGACAAAAAAGCAGCAGTATAATCCAGGAATATAGAAAGTGAGGACAATTCTATACGGACATGTAAACAAAATGAAAACCAAGTGACACTAATATACACATTCTCTACAAAAAAAGAAATATTAAAATATTAAATATTAAAGTTTTTTAAAGTAAAATATTAAATATTGTGGTATTTTTCCTACTTCATTATGAAAGGTGGATTATGCTTTACCCTTCACATGGATAAGATTCAAAAAAAAACAAAAAAACCCCAAAAAATCCAACCTGCTTAAACTTATTAAAATCCAAACTGTGGCTTAATAAAACTAAAATATTTAAAAATATCCTCTTTGGAGTAAATATGAAAATCTGCTTGTAACAGCCCAACTAGGCCCTTTCTGCACTGGTCAATCAGCTCCAGGTCAATAAGTGCATTAACATCATAATCACATTATCTTCCTAAACCAAGCACTGAAAAAAAGTTTTGGCCACTCTCACCCTCCATCAGTCATTTAAAAATGTCTAGCCCAGGGAGGCAAAGAGTCACTAATTTAGAAACCTAGCACGACTCCAGGCTGCTCAGTCCTCTGCCCCTCAGGAACACTGTTGCAGCAACACTACCAAATACTATCCTAAAACCATGCCAACCACACACCCCTCCGTGATTTACCATCATGATTACAAATAATCCTAAACGTCTCCCCAAGTTATGTAATTCGGTGAGTATCACTCAACAAAATACATGAAATTGCTTGCTAAACAAAAACAGAGGCAAACTTCACTGTAAGCTAGAATACTAGAATAGCTACCTGCTTTGTACAGGAACCAAAAGTTCTCTGGCTTCAAAAGGAGGCTTAAAAAGGGGGGTGGGGGGGGGTGCTGCAACCTTATGCATATAAACAAAGATCTTTATTACTGATACATGCTTACTGCAAAGTTGGAAATACTGTATCCATAAAAAGTGATTAACTATAGAAGAATCTGTAGTCAATAAGAGCAAGCTGTAATATGAAACAAAAGCCACTCTGACTAATCTATAACACTAACCCTTTAAATCACCTGTATGTTCCGTTATGTAAATGGCCCATTTTCTGAACTGTAGATTCTGTCCACTTCAAGACCGTATTTGTGATAAAATACAGTAAGAAAGAAGGGGAAGGAAAGAGGAAGAAAAACAGCCCATTACAGGATGTTGACATGTTAACTACTAAGGCTTCAGAATATATTGGTTAGCATACCACATACCACTAAAATAAACCAGGTTCCTCTAACAACAGGTTACTTTGGCTTTCGATTTTAACCTACTCAAGTAACTGGAGTCTACTGTAACAAAATATTCTAATTTTCATACCCTAAGCTCCCTTAGAAGAAAACCTGTGTACTTCTCGGTCTCAATTACCAAATAAAGCAATTCTTTAATCCAACTCAACTGCCCTACAGCTTCATTTGAATGGATGAGATTTCCTTTCTCTTCCTTTATTACAACCCCATAGATTCTGGTGCAGAGAAACCAACTACAGGCAAAAAGGCAACTAAAATTCTGATAATACCCATGGGGTACATCTTATCTCTAGAGCTATCAATACCGAACCACAGATCCCAAAAGGCAGGCTTACTTACACCCCCACCAAAAAAACCTCCTCCTTGCCAATCACCACTGAATTCATACTGGCTTGTTACTATCTCTTAATGTATTCTACCCGACTACTTTTTTTCAAACTACCTCTAATGGATTCAGGAAAATGTTTTAACTGACACTCACAAATGGAATTAGCAGCAATGCAAATGGCTATCACTGTGTTCACTACGCATGCCAAAATAAACTCAAGGAGGTTAGGGCTCTGTCTACCTCGTGCGCCCATACCCCAGTACCTGGCACCTAGGAGATAACTTAATGCCCATAAAATGAATGAAACTGTGTAACAACAAAATTCACAGAACGGCCTGAAAATTTCAGTGGTAAAAGAACTGTGTTAAATAATGTACTGCCTGAAAGAATGAACAATTATCAAAACTTGGGAACCATCTAAACAGTGCTATCTGTTGTAACTATATAGAATAGTTAACTTATACCAGAAAATAAGACTGATGGTTCAAGTCAATTCTAAAGAGAAGCCTGCAGTAAGTTTTTGTAATAAAGCAGACAAAAGTTGCATTTTTAGAACATAAATGACTTTCCTCCAATCCCAGAACCATGATCAATAAAAATTACAGAATTTTAGAAGCAGAAGAAACTTGAGAGCCTAAATTATGGAACAGATGGACTTGGTTCAGTCATATAAACTGCCACCAATTTATTCAAAAATTTTGCATAATCACATACCCAAGATAGCATTTTATGAATATTAATTTTATCCTACTCTTTTGGCTATGCTAAGTAGTTGCCAGTTGGAGAAGTAAGGACTGATGAATATCATACTCTTCCATTCTTATGACTTTATTTACCAGGGGAAAACCGATGAGAAAATATAACTTTGTCGATACAAATAGTTCCTTTCTTCTCGGTTTTTAAGTTACAGTGTTCTGTACTCCATGAAGAAGGAGTTCTACTGTTCTCTAATTCTATTTTTAGACTGTGTGATAGTTTATTACATTTATTTCTATTACTGATTTGTATATGTTTCCTGTAGCCAAGTCCTATCTTCCCAAAGATTTAGAAAGTATACCCTTACCAAGTGCTCCCCACCAGGCCATTAAGTGCTTGACAATTTCCTTGTAATTCATCTGAATGTAAGTTTCATTAGACCAGAGCTGGTCCTGTCTTGTAGGACACTACACAATTGGTTCTAAGTGTTACTACAATGATGAATGAATGAATGAATGAATGATGACTTAGAAGGCAATGGCATCATCATGCTTTTCTTTAAACTTTTGAATGTTTATTGATTTTGAGAGAGAGTGACAGAGTGCGAGCTGGGGAGAGACTGAGAGAGAGGGAGACACAGAATCTGAAGCAGGCTCCAGGCTCCGAGCTGTCAGCACAGAGCCTGATGCGGGGCTTGAACCCACAAACCGTGAGATCATGACCTGAGCCAAAGTCCATGCTTAACCAACTGAGCCACCCACGCGCCCCTATCATGCTTCTTTTGATAGGTAAGCAGACAATATAGGAAAAAGCATTACAGTTTCTATCCAGCTTTAGGAAAACTACAATGTCCTTTAACTGCTCTACGTTGAAAATTTGCAAACAATAAATCTAAGAACAGACACACTGTATTTGATACACATTAGTAGACAAAGTGCTTAAAAAAGAAAACCCTCCCAAACAGTTTATTCAAATGTCACCCAAAGAATTACTGAAGATTCCTTAGAACGAGGTTCCAGTATTCCATTACCACCACTGTGACTTGATCTTCCCCAAAACCACTGCTAAATGACTTCACTGTCTGGAGAGTCCGTTTTCCTCCATGTCTTGAGAATTTGTAAGTGAACATACTTAAGTAATAATGAACAACTACTCTCCAGGGCCTTACAATAATCTTTAAAAAGATTGGGGGGGGGGGGGCGAAGCGGCTGGTTAAAGAAAACTCTTATAAAAACACACAAAAAGCAATTTTCCTGTTAGTTGTGAAAGACTGAAAAATTTTCACTGCGTCCTTTCCCTCCTTTGCTGGTCACGGAGTAAGAATTGGAAGTCGGAAAATTTACAACACTTCCATGCCGTTTGAATCAGGAACTACCAAGAGAGAAGAGAGAATCACAACTGTGGGGACACATGTATTCTACAGAGAGCAGGAAGTCAGTTTCTGGAGCTGGGCCGCCCGGCCAGCATCCTAAACGGGGACGCTGGCCTTCTGAAAGCCCACCCCCACTCCCCTCTAACTCAAGCCAAAGCCACCGGGACACGGGCTTTTGCCAGGCTGATTGAAAAAGGAGCAGCTCGGAGAGCGCAGGACACTTCCCTCTTTCCACTTGGCCTGCGGCAGGAGGATACTCCCCTGGTTCTCGCCAAAAGAGGAGGCGGACCGGGCAGAGTCAGCAGCGAAACGCAGCCTCGGCCGGGAAGGCAGCTCGTCCACGCGGCCGGAGAACTCCCCGAACAAAGCACACCGCGCGGACCGGGTGGGGAGACGCGAAAGAAGGGAAAAGATTCACCCCACCTCTCCACCCCTGCCTGGGGCTAGAAACAGGTGGAGCTGCGTTTAGAGGAAGAAGAATGATGGGTTTTCGAGGGGCTAATCTCATCTCCAGCGCCCAGGGAACCGGAACCGAGACCCCCGGCGGCGGAGAACGCCCGGGAATGAGGGAGGCGAGCGCGGCGGAGGGAAAGCAAGGCACGGTCGGGGTCAAGGGCTGACGGATGGCCCCCGAGGGGTGCCGAGGATGCGGCTGGCGAGGATGCCCGCGGCGCGCCGCCGGCTGCCCCCACTCGGGCCTCCCAGGCGCCGCCGCCGCCGCCCCCTCGCCCCCGCGCCCCGGGCGGCCACACAAAGGGGATGGCGAGGCGCGCCGGCTGCGGGGCGGCGGAGGGGCGCCGGGCCCGGGACGAGGGGGCCGGACCGCGACGTCCGCCGCGCCCCCGCCTTTGTCTGCCTCGCTCCGCGCTTCCCCCACCCCCGCAGAGGAGCTCTGCCGCCCGCGGCGCCCTCACCCCGCTCATTACCCGGGTGAGTAGCGGTCTCATCTGCTCGCCGGCCCCATCCGCCTCCATGGCCAGCCGGCCAGCCCGCAGCGGCCGCTACGGAGCTGCCCCGCGCTGTCCGCCCGCCGCCGCCGCCGCCGCCGCCGCCGCCGCCGCCGCCGCCGCCGAGAGCCCGGCGCGCGAAGGGAAACGAACGTGCGCCCGTGACCGAGAGGCGCGCGTGGGGAGAGCCGTGCGCGGGAGACGCGGGGCGGCGGGTGAGCGCGGCGGCCGCAGGGCTGCCTCTCGCCTGGCGAGCGAGGCCGCGGCGTGGAACGTGGAGCGAGAACTGAGCGAGCGGGAGGACGAGGCGGGGGAGGAGGAGTGAGCCGCGTAGGGCCCGGGGGGCGGGGCCGCAGGCCGTGACGCGCGCGGCGCCCGGGGCCCGCCCCGCCCCGCCCCCCCGTCACGCCCCCTGCCAGTTTGGCACGGCCAGCCCGCTCTGCGCGCCTGCGGGCCCCGCCGCGAGGCCACCCGGAGACGGGGCGGGAAGGAAGCGGGACGGGCATTTGTCCCAGCCAATCGGCGGCTCGCAGAGGCCAGCGTGCACCACCACCCCCCCTCCGCCTCCTCAGGAGGCTCCGCCCCTCTGTGTAAAATCTTAACTGACCCAAACAGATTGATTGTCTAACTCGTTTTTCAGGTGCGAGGTTCGCCTGAGGTTTCTAAGTGCTGTGGAGGGTTACCACCTCCCCGACCTCCTAACCGGGGTCTTTATAGAGTAGCAGGAGGATCGGACGACGGCACCCTTTTCAAGGACGCTCACGGAAACCCCAAAGGAACTAACCGGTCTTCGTGACTCCTCCAAGTTTTTATCTGTCACCTCCGGAGGTGCGAACCCCAACTCTGAAAGCAGTATCCCCGCGTGCTTGCCCCCTTGACCTGGCACCACGGCGGCTCCCACACCCTTGAGTGCACCCTCAGTTACCCACACCTCGAGGTCAGCTCTCAAATATCTACACTCTAACCGGGGATGATGATGGGGTCTGCCACACAGGGTCACGGGAGGGTTCAGTGTATTTCTATCCGCAATCGTGCCTGACACATTGCATGCTTATTATGGGCATTATTGGTAACAAGCTTATTGGGAATGCTTTTAAAAGATAACAAAATGTTAGCTGACAGGAGCTACATCAGTGCTCTGGAGGGAGACTTCACGTTACAGCAGGTCTGGAGCACATGTCCTACCTGCCTGTCTTCCATAGCAAAGCCCTTAGTTAAGCCCTTTGTCAGAAAGTTAAGGATGCTGCATGGCTCGTCGCTAGTTTGGGTCCTAGTCCCCTCCTGGTCTCAATTTCCCAGAGTTACTTCGAGGCTAGCACACATTATTCACTTACTTGTATAAGAGCATATGTGTTTCTATTAATAATAGCTACCATTTAAAGAGGCCTGCCATTAGAGACTGTGAAGTTTTGTAAACATGCTTCATCTCTAATCCTGACAACGCTACAAAATATGTTTTATTGTCCCCGTTTAACAGATGAGGAAGCAGGGGCTCATAGAGATAACTAGCTTTAGGTCCTCATTAGTAGATCTGCTCTTTCAGTTGCACCATTCCAATGCCTCATTAAAGAGAGTTGAACAAAAATAAGAACAGGGGAAGAAAAGATGAAACAAGAATGAGACAAAGAGTATGGAGAAAGAGGGAGAAAGAAATTTTAAAATGCGCCTCCAAAAGTTGTCGAAGGCATCGATCACTTGTACCCATCACTCTTCTAAGGTCAATGGGTTCATGCTGAAGAATTAGTTCTGGACTCTCTTCCAATGCAGCCATAAAACTGTAATGAGTGTATACAGAACACCCTCCACCCGCCTTCTCTGCCTTATTTTTTCTGTACAGCACTTACCCTCTTATAACACTTTGTATATTTTATGTTTTATTATGCTTATCGTCTGTACACACATTAGCATAGAAACATGTGTTCCGTGCATGCTCCACGCAAGCAATGAAAGCAGTGATTGTCTTTCGTCTGTTTGCTGTTAAATTCCTAATGTGACTAGAAGAGTGCTTGGCCTTTGTAAACTCTCCATTAATTGCATGAAGGGGGGGCGGGAAGAGGGGCATCCTTTAAGAGCATCTTGGGTGACAACTGAGGATATGGTCAAAGAAGTAACAAGAACAAAGTAGGAGCTAAGCCTCTTGGTGCCAGAGTTGAAAGAGCTAAGTTGTCAACTTCTAGAAGATGTGAAAATATATACTCAGGAGACCATGCTGTAAAACTGAGTTTCTCATCACCCATCTTGTAAAAGAAAAAAAAAAAGCCCTGGTTTATTTAATCCACAATTATTTTTTTGAGTGACTTCTGTGTTCCCATGTACGTTTTCCATTTCTCAGTTGATCCCAGCTGCTAAAAGAATAATGTAGTGAAACATCTGAATTATAGAATTTATTACTCTCACTTGTGCACTTAATTCTGGCTTGGCCGGGGTTCATCCTGAGGTGATGGTTGTAGTGAGTAGGGAAGGTAATGTGTTAAAATTGTGTTCATCCAATGTAAATGACTATGAAATGCTCCAAGGTGCTGAAAGGCAAATTATTATCTAAAGTGTTTTAAATATTCATCCAAAATGTAGCACAGGGACACAACTGCTAAACAAAAGTGAATGTGAACCTAAATTCATCACTAACAATGAACTCGTAGCCCCTAAAATTAATGACATTTAGCTGTAGCCCAGGACACTTCCTGGCTTTCTGGAGCAGGGACATGGATACAAACTCTTGGCAAGATCTTCACCTTGAGGAGCGAATCATTTTCTCCCAACGGTTCTCTAAGAGCCAGGGCGTATTTTGTAAAGACAAATAGCAGCTTCTTTGTCATTTTGAAAAGCCTTAACCTTTAGCAGATGATCCTTTGACAATTAAGTATCATTTCATTGCCTCTTCTTGGTCATAGCTCAAATTTAAATGTTCCCAATCAGCTGCTCTTATAAGGAAAACTAAATTCCTTGGAATAGTGTTTACAAAATCACCAGGACAGTTGCAATGGGAGAAAGACAAAAGGAAGATGATTGAAAACAATTGTGGCTCTTTCGACAAATTTAAAAGACAAAACAAAGGGGCACCTGGGTGTCTCAGTCAGTTGAATGCCTGACTCTTGACTGCAGCTCAGGTCATGATCTCAGGGTCATGAGATCAAGCCCCTTGTCAAGCTCTACACTGAGCATGGAGCCTGCTTAAGATTCTCTCTCCTTCTCTCCTCTCTTCTCTCTCCTCCACTCTCTCTCTCTAAACAACAGCAACTAAAGGACAGAACTGATCCCTGATTTCATGGAGTTCAAGATGGAAAATGTCAATAGTTAGACAGATGCCAGCAATGCAGCTCTAATACAGTCATGGGAATCTCAATGTGAAAGAATGCGATGACTTTTTTAAGTTCATTTATTTTGAGAGAGAGAGAGAATGTCCACAAGTGGGAGAGGGGCAGAGAGAGATGGAGAGACAGAATCCCAAGCAGGCTCCTCACTGCCAGCACAGAGCCCAATGCATGGCTCAAACCCTCAAACCTGGAGATGATGACCTGAGGAGAAATCAAGAGTCAAAAGGCTCAACCTGCTGAGCCACCCAGGCACCCCCAGAATGGGATGCCTTTTGAAGCAGGAAAGGAATGGGGACTGCCAGTTGTGGGAAAAGGATAAATGTGAAGGTGTTTGGAAAAGTTAATGATAGTAGATCTAAACTGACTTATGAATGATAATAGTATAACCTGATCAAACTGGGGAGAGGGGAGAGGAAAGAGTGCATTAGAAGCAGAGGTAACAGCAAGATCAAGGGCACTGGAAAAAAACATCAGAAACAGACTCATAAGTACAGAGAACCAGCCGGTGGTTGCCAGAGGGGATGGGAGACATAGGTAAAGGGGATCAAGAGGTATAAACTTCCAGTTATAAAATAAGTTAAGTTGTAGGGGATGAAACTTAGAGCATAGTCAATAATACTGTAATAACATTGTATGAGCTGTTAAGAAGAAACAAAATTCATCTGAGTAAATTTGAAGATCTAAATGGCCTTATTAAAGGATTCATGAATCTGGCAGCATCCCATCTAGCAAGTGGAAGGAAGTTCTGAGGAGTCAGACAAAATGAAAGATTTTAATATGAGGCAGTGTGGAGCAAGAAAGTTCTAGCCAAAAGAAAAGAATGGATTGTTTTAGGCACAATCACCTTCCCTTATGGGGAAGGGCAAGGGAGGTCTTATAAGGATTACTTCATCTTCCTATAGGAGATGGAGACGGTCCAAGTGACAGATTACCTCACCGACACTGATTAGAAAATTCCTGACTGACTGGTTAAAACTACATTTCTGGGGGATACTGAAACTGCGATTGGACTAGGTATTAAGCCTCTGTTTGGTGACTTGGTCTGGCCCAAGTGACACCAGGTTGGGCCTCTGGTTTTCTTTTTAGCAGGTGGCAGATGGTAGCTACCCTTAATCCTGGTGAGCATTGTGAGCATGTAATTGTCAACTCACTATGTTGTACACTTGAAACTAAGGTAACATTGTATGTCAACTATACTTCAATAATAAAAAATTTTAGAAAAGGTCAAGGTGATTGATCTGAAGAAGCAGGGTAGCTGAGTGGTGAAGCATCCCTCCTTATCCAGGCAGACTCCCTGGGCAGGTTCCTTTGTTCTTGCTCTTATGTGTTTAGCCAAGTTACTTCATATGGCCAGCTTCCTTTTTGAGACTGTTAATTGGAGATAATCGTGGTACTATCCCCATGGGTTTGCAATGACAAAAATGAAATGAGGCCATCTAGCACAACACCGAATATATAGGACAATGAACATACCATTTGATACCATAATGATGGATACATGTCATTATACACTTGTCTAAACCCAAAGAATGAACACCACCAAGAGTGAACTGTAACACAATCTATGAACTTTGGGGGATTATGATGTGACAATGTAGGTTCAGCAGTTGTAACAAACGTATCACTCTGATGGACAGTGCTCATAATAGAAGAGGCTATGCCTGTACCTGGGCAGAGATATAAGGAAATCTCTGTCTCTTCCCTCACTTTTGCTGTGAACCTAAAACTGCTATAAAAGAAATAGTCATCTTAAAAAAAT